TTAACATTTGGGTTTCATATTCAAGTACACCCATGGGCCAGTAGCTCAGATTCAATGATTCATTAAGCTTGTCAAAGTAATTGAATGTTAGTTGAGTATGCTATCTTTGTTTGTGATAATAAACCTTTCATTTTCAAATCTAAGAAAAAATATTTTGAAGGTATCACATCAGTAACTCTAGATCTGTTCTAACGAATTAAATTTAAACTGGATATTTATATTGATTTATAAAACCTGTACAATCATTGGCCTCAATTGCTCTTAGATAAGGGTCTTCCTAACCAGACCTTGGGATTGAATCATTGATTTTTTTATTTTTTTTTTAAACTTTGAAAGTTTATTGTTATTATTTTAATTACTTCAATCATATACCGGTATTTAACGGGAATTATATATTTTTTAATTTAAATGTAAAATCATGTAATTTAAAGATGAATTTTACACATGCTTATATAGGTGTGAGTAAGAACCACATTCATCCAGTAGTAAATTATATTTTTAAAGTGAATTCATTACAACAACAATTATAAGAGTTTTATTGATGATTTACAATTTGCTTGTGAATTGATAAATCGTGTTTAATTGTCATTGTGTTTCTGATAGCTTGCCAGCTGTGTAAAACACAGGTAAACAGCCTAGAAAAGGTGACTTAGTCCTCTTGCATGATAGAAATTGAGTTGATTTTGTAATACATGTAGGCCCATTGGGTGTACATTTTTCCACTGCCCAAATGAGAAATAGGGATATGAAAACTCAGAGATTTCATCATAAGTGGAATATTTTGAAAAGTTTTAATCAAATCAATTTGAACAAATTTGTTCTCTGCACGTTCTCCTTATTTTCGTTTGGTTGTTCATTTGTTATGTGTGTGACAAATGAATGAAAATGAGGAGCAAGTATGGAGAACTTATCTTTATTGATCTTTGTTAGATTGAAACCAAAGTTCATCAACTTATTAAAACAATAAAACATTATGGGTAACTTTTCTAATGGAAAACGATTGAAAATTTAAATATGAGTTTTTGAAATAAATATTATGATCAGTTTTTATACGACCGCAAAAAAATTTTGCGGCCGTATATTGGTATGACGTTGGTGTCGTCTGCGTCTTGGTCGTCCGAAGACCCATTGGTTTTCGCACAATAACTTTAGTTTAAGTAAATGGATCTCTATGAAATTTTACCATAAGGTTCAATACCACAAAAGGATGGTTGGGATTGATTTTGGGGGTTATGGTACCAACAGTTAAGGAATTAGGGGCCAAAAATAAGCATTTTTGTAACTTCCAGATAATAACTTGTGTGTTAGTGTATGGATCTCTCTGACATTGTACCACAAGGTTCCATATCACAAAGGGAATGCTGGGATTGATTTTGGGGGTAATTGCCTCAAAATTTTATGAATTAGGGGCCAAAAAAGGGGCAAAAAATAAGCATTTTTCTAGTTTCATGACAATAACTTGTGTGTAAGTTTATGGATCTTCTGAAATTGTACTACAAGGTTCCATATCACAAAGGGCAAGCTGGAATTGAGTTTGGGGGTAATTGCCCAAAATGTTAAGGAATAAGGGGCCAAAAAGGGGCAAAAAACAAGCATTTTTCTAGTTTCATGACAATAACTTGTGTGTAAGTGTATGGATCTTTCTGAAATTGTACTACAAGTTTCCATATCACAAAGGGAAAGCTGGAATTGAGTTTGGGGGTAATTGCCCAAAACGTTCAGGAATAAGGGGCCAAAAATAAGCATTTTTCTAGTTTCCAGACAATAAGTTGTGTTCAAGTGTATGGTTCTCTCTGAAATTGTACTGCAAGGTACCATACTACAAAGGGAAGGCTTGGATTGAGTTTGGGGTGATGAATCATAAGGGGGTTTAAAAAATTGGGGAAGGGATTTTTATTTTCCTTTTTTTTTTTCTTTAAAATTTTCCATTTTAAGTTGGTTATTTTTTATTTATATATAAAAGCAAATAATAATGATATGGTTTGATTTCATCACAAATTGAAATATTGGGGTTCTTTGATATGCTGAATCTAACAGTTTTTATTTCACTGGGAAATCAATGTAATTCATTGCAACCAATGTAATAATTAAGGTTATCAATAAGACAATCAGTGAATTGGCATTGTGTATTAGGATTTTTAATTTTTGGTCCCGTTTTCCAATTGGTCTACATTAAGGTCCAAAGGGTCCAAAATTAAACTTAGTTTGATTTAAACAAAAAATGAATTCTTGGGGTTCTTTGATATGCTGAATCTAACCGTGTATGTATTTAGATTTTGGATATTGGACCATAATAGGTGAACTAAAAAATTTTAAGTTCTTAGACCACATTCATTTTGTGTCAGAAGCCTATGCTGTGTCAAATATTTAATCACAATCCAAATTCAGAGCTGTATCAAGCTTGAATGTTGTGTCCATACTTGCTCCAACTGTTCAGGGTTTGACCTCTGCGGTCGTATCAAGCTGGCCCAGCGGAGCATTTTATTGACATTTTTAATGTGTTTCTTTATGCATATGATTTCACAAGAATTGTCCTCAAACTTTTGGATCAGCCCTAGCACCTTGCACAAAGACTGAAAAAAATCAGATATGTCAATTTAGAGAATTGTCATGACAACACCAACACTGACAAATAATTAAACATTTGATTTGATTTGTAATTATAATGAATCATATATTTACCATGTTGAATTGCTTAAATCTATGTTATTTGGACTTGTTTGGATAGTTGTCTCATTGGCAATCATACCACATCATCTTGTTTTATATTAGGACTTTTTAGAATTATTATTCATACTATGGATGAATGATTTTCTAGAATTTTCAAAGAATATATCATCCAATAAAAAGTGTTCTTTAACATCCTCTACTTATTAAATAATAATTAATGGGCCGTTATATTCAAATTTTATCACGAGCATTAATTTTGTACATTTTTTCGTGCTCTAAAGCATTATTTCTTTTTGAAATGCATAGTAGCTTTTTTTTCAATTCCGATTTTAATACAACAAAATTGAAATAGTGTTTGCCCTTTGGTTACGAAACATGTGGTTTAAGTGGAAGGTAGATTGTAACAGCCATTGATATGTATATCTCAGACTGAGTCTGTGCTTAGTATAGATATATTGAGAATTTTATCATGCTGTTGTTTACAAAGTAAAAGAAGCACATCATATTAGAATGATATTTAATGAGATTTCATTTTCTGTCCAAATTTTAATGTCCATCCCTTCTACTTGTAGATTATGATCAACTGACTATTCTTTTTGCAAATAATTTTAACAGGTTTTCTTGCCTCTGAATTTAGATAAGGAGCATACTCCATTCAAATTGTCTATATATTTATAGTTTATAACTTATTTTTGCATGTTTTATTTACATTATTTAGTTCTTTATGCAAGAAAACTGTAAATTTTGTTTTCAAATGTCATTTAACCTCTTTTCTTACATAACTAGTTTTATATTTAGAAATATTAAAGATTAATGTTCAAGATTAAAAATCTAAACAATTTTAAAATAGAATTTAACCCAGCTGAAATAACAGCTGATTTTTCAAAAGCAGCATTATGGAACTTCCTAAAGCAGTATTTGACCAAGATTAAGATTAATGGATTATTGGTTGCTCAATGTCCCGCTGACATAACAGCTAAATTTTCAAAAGCTGCATTATGTGAAATCATAAAGCGCTTTTTTAGATTTTTATGCATATTCTTGTGGAGAACAAATTAACCATTAAACCAAGAGGTAAGATTTGCAAAGTGGCATGGGTCAACCAGGATAAAGGGCTGATATTTTGACTGCCACTGGAAAATAAGGGAATGTTAGAAAGAGGCAGACACCTACAAACCCCTTAAAGAGTTGTTACAAGTGTAGAGAGTGTGTATACCTTCCATTACAAGGCACCCGATTTCAAGCCTATTACAACTAACTGTGACTGGGTATCTATACATCTCACACAACCAAATGGGTGCCCCTAGTCAGAATGATTTTCAATTCCTGATGGGAGTGCCGCATTCAGGGGAGGATGGTTAAAAGTGTACACCCCCTTTGTCCTAAAAATTTTACAAACAAACACATTTATGAACTTAACAGTAAAAATTTCATCAAAATCGTAACCTGAAATAAGTTTTTGACAATGTTTTTAAAAAAATTAAAAAAATGTAACTACAGCCAAAATATTTTAACCAACAACCTTGACTTTGGCAGAAATGGTCATTGTATTATGTAATAATTGGCTTTATCATTATCATTACCTACATAACACATAGTCTGTAGTTTATACATTTGTACTTCCTTCCTCAAAAGTTTGCCTGATCATTCTCATTACATGTATTTATTCATTACAAAATGTAGTTTGTTAAAGTCCCATCTAGGATACCAGTAGTGTTTACCAAGAGGGGGTAGGGGGTGGGGGTTATCATGTTAACTAGTGTATGTGTCCATCAATCTATGTCTGTTGGTTAAGTTTTAGGTTTAATGCAGTTTACCATGAGGTTGTGTTCACGTGAAGTTATAACTTAGTACATGTGGTCATTGTGGTGTGAATGTTTAAAAATATATGCCAAATTAGAGTTGTGGCCCAGATTTTACAGTCCACTGATCAGGTTAAAGTTTTGATTTGTGGTAGATTGTAATGTTATGGTAAGGAAGTTTACCATGAGATTGTGGTCACATCAACTTGAAATTTAGTACACATGTTCATTATAAAGTGAAATATTTAAAATGCCAAACTAGGGCTTGACACAGATTTCCAAGTTCACTGAACATAGGAAAAAATAAGAAGTGCGAGCGAAGAATGGTTTTCTACAGAGACATATTCTTGGTATTTATTATCTTATATTATTGAATATTAGCACTCATCCACCGTGGGTTATGTAAATTATGTACATCTTTTTAAAAAATTTAAAAGGAAAGTTTTGAACAAAGGACAAAAAAAAATTTTCAGCCTTTATCAAAAACAAAAAGATAGAATGTAAATAGATATATGTTATCTTTTGCAGGTATGTATACAAGATACTGCATATAACTGTAGACCAGTGAAGATTAGTAAGTGTCAGAGGAATTGCTAATTTGAGGGTTACATCCAGAAATTAGAGGACAAAGAAGAAGATGTTACCAGTGATATTATTATCTTGTGTAAAATTTAAATTATTTTTATGCCCCAGCCGTGGCGGAGGGGGCATTAAGTGTTCCCCTTGTCCGTCTGTATGTACGTCTCAAAATTAGTTTCCGTTCTCTAACTTTAGTTTGCCTCAACCTAATGTTATGAAACTTATACAAAATGCTTATTACCATAAAACACAGATCAAATTGGAATTTGGGTGGTATCACTTTTACAGTTCTCTACTTATGCCCCTTTATGATGTTATATGCAATTGGGGGAATCATCTGTGTCCCATTGACACATTGTCCGTTTATTTATAAATACCTTACATATGAATTTTCATTTATTAAAACATTAACTCCACATTTTTAGTTTATATACTATTTTAGCCATCAATAGTATATTGATATGGTTGTTTTGTTTAAATATATACATGGAAAAGAATTTTCTCAAACTTTTTATTTTTGTAATGAAAGTGAGGATTCGTAGATGAAAGGATCCAAATTAAATCTGGCAATAGTAGACAACTAAAGGAAGAAAATGTCTATGGGGTAGATAATTTACTATAAACCTCTTATATGTGTATATAGAAATATTCTGAAAAATCTTCTTGGACATAAAAGACTCTAATATACATTGTAATAACAGGACAAAAATTTGATTACTGGTATTTTTCAAAATGATGATTTGATTAGTTATATTTTAAAAGATTGGTCTGGTACAATGAATTAGTCATTTTTTGCAATAATCAATAATTTAGCTGATAAATACATCAGAATTTTTTATTTTTCCTTACACAAAAATAAAAAGAAAAGAAATGATATTTTCTTGATAAATTGATTTATAATTAGTCATAAATGTAATAACCTTTATTAATTGATGTAATTTTTACAGTTTGTTTCTCATCTTTCTGTTAGTATGTGAAATTAAAGGTTTTTCTTTTTAAATTGAGCAGGATTTGTTTTATCTTCTTATTTAATGAAACAAGAGATGGTAACCTTGGTAACCTTTTGATCAAATTATGTTATGTTTCCCTGTCACATAGTTGGCTAGATTGTTTGAAGATTATCCATGCAATTGATTTGAACACTCATAATAACATCAAACATATTTTTTCTATCAAGGGAGATAATTGCAATGTTGTGTTCTTTTGTAATTTAATTGTCTTATGGATTTTTAGTTGAAACAAGATAAAAAAGTGCATTCCAAAATCTATTTAGATAAAGCTAACTTGTAACATTTTGAATGATGGTGGCATGTATTAAAAAACATCTTTTTGTAAGGGAAATAAATTTGATTCTACTAAAAAATAAAAACTATTTTTATTTGGATTTTATGCCAGAAGATTTAATTGAAAAAGTACAATTTATCCTTTTTCCTTTTATCAACTTTAATGCAAATATCAAGAACATCAAAATGTACAAATCTTCTGATTTTTCAATTATTAAACACAATGTTTAAAAAATTCTCTTGCTTTCAACAAATATTTAATATGCATTATTTCTTCTTCAAACAATTGTCAAGGAGATATTCAGTATTCAAATATTGAAACAAATGGTTTCCTTTTAACCTCATGTTTCAAGTAGAAAATATACAAAATTCAATTATTGGTTGAGGTAAAATGTTTTACTGGCGGAGGCAAAGGTCAAGAAAATGTCTGACAATGTTGAGGAGGAGTTACCATTCCTAGTTGTCTTTTACTCCAGATAACACCAGAACAAACAGGTTCATAATTAGTCATATTCAAAAACTTTCAGAACTTAATATTGTATTTGATCATCAGTTTCATATAAATTAAGGTTGAAATTTATTATTTGGTAGATTTATTTTAGATTTTTTGTGGGAACTTCGTACAGAAATATATATCAGAATAAAATGTTTAAAGGGGTCACATACTATCATTTGAAATGTATATAATCAAGAGAACAGAATATTTATTATCTTTTTTTATACATAGCTGATGAGCATAATTTTCAACTTAAACATACATGGTATGCAGAGGAGGCATTTTAAAAATTTAAAATGGGAAAGCAACAAAAACGTTTCTTTTTTTCAATCCAAAGGATAAATTAAGACATATTTCAAAATACGTTTTCTGAGTACCATGTATGATTTATTGGATAAACCTTCTAGATGTACTGTTGTTTAGTATTTAAGAATAAGATTTATATAGTGTTCTATGTTTTTAGAAATGTGAATGCATTGATCTGTGATAAATTTTTGTACATGTATTTAAAATAATATTGCATGGGTTGCAAATTTAGTACCTGATATTTTCCTGATATTGTTGCTTTATTAAATATGATCATGAATATATTTTATGCAAAATATGATCACCAAAATTAATAAATCTGTGCCACTATCACCTGGATTTTTTTAACATCACCAAAATTAATGGGTTTGTGATAATATATAAATTGAAATGGGGGCAAAATCAGGTACTAAAATAAAGTTATTTTTATATATTTCTTATATATATAAATGTTGTTGAAATATATTACCTATGTCTTATGCATTGGTAATATGATTAGTATTAACATAATACTTTCTATTTGTCTTTTTGAATTCTTTATATGATATTGTCTTTTCACTTTAGCTAATGTGTCCTGTTCATTGTTGTATCTTTGAAAGTGAATTGTTAAATTTTAAGGCCCTCGCTGATTTAATTTTAAGTTCTTTGGATTTTTGGATGCAAATGAAGAGGTGCAACTGAGCAAAATTGATTTTTCTGATACAAAAAGAGATTGGAGTACTCGATATTTTAATGTTGTTTTTTTTTATACAAAATAATTCTTTATGGAAGTAGTGGCAAAATATAAGATGCTCTATTTATATTTTAAGAGAAAAAACTCAATTTTATCATGATTATAGAAATGTTTTGAAATGTTTTCAACTTTTATTACATCAATAAAATTGCCATTTTAGAATCTAATGAATTTTGGGTAATATTTTCTAAAGACATACACCAAAATGTTGTGATTGGTTTTTAAATATCCTTAATACTTGGAATTCAACTTATGATGTGATGCTTTTTTCCATTTTGGGGTTCAAACAAAGAAATTATCCATAGACCTTTGAAAAGTTAATAAGTCATGTTAAAGTGTAAAATTTAGGCATTTTTCAGCAGGATACCATGAAAATTTTTATTCTATAAATATTATTTGCTTAAAGTTGATGCAAGTGAATCCAAAGAAATCAAAATCAATTTAATTTGGCCAGACAAAAATGATTGTCTCTTTATTGTTGCCCCCAATGTGTCCCATACTTGCCTAGATAAAGTTTTGTTAAACACTTTCAGCCAGTCTGTTTGTATAGGAGGATATTACTTTATTACTTACTAACAGTTTAATGTTGACCATTATAAAGTATAACAAAAATACCAAACTCCAAAGGAAATTCAAAAAGGGGAAGTCCATAAAAACTGGCAAAATCAAATGCTATCAATCAACAGAACAAGTGAAAAACAACTGCCATATTCCTGACTTGGTACAGACATTTTCCAAAGAAAAAGGTTGGATAAATATGGTTTTATAGCTAGCTAAATCTCCCACTTGTATGGCAGTTGTTTATAGTCTCGTTTTAACTTTGATATATAATAATTTAGAAGGAGAATATTTTATATTTCTGTCACATATTTATATGCAACTATGAAAATATTGTTATAACTTTATAATTTATTAACATTAACTTTTGTGACTTAGCTATGTTTATTTTTATGTTTTGGTCTTAAACACCATAGCATAAAATATATCTGAAAATTATGAACTTAATATAATATTTAAGTGACCAAACATATTTGTAATTTGTATAATATTTGTGTATACTTTCTTAAGAAGGGGTATGCTGATATTAATTTTTGGTAGGATATACCCAGATAGGGAAAAACCTGTTGGTGATATTTGTTGTCATACATGTAGTAAAGTCTTCCTAATTCTTTTTGTAATTTATGCATTAATCAACCTGTATTTTTGTTGTATTTTCAGTCAATTGATGACTGTTTTTATCTAAAGCTTGACTGCTCATAGTTGATTTATGCAAAAGTTGTCTTCCTTCAAAAGATCTTAAAATTTCAGTTTTGAAAAATTTACTATCCATTTTAGATAAATAAATTAATTTACTTCTTGTACTACTTTGAATATATGTACTTTTATAATTGCCCTGACACGTCCATGATTCATTTCTATTCTGATATCTCTCTTATGGTTGTGACCTGTTATATATCTCCTGCATAGAAGAGATATTTCTTGTATATCACACAGGTGATAACACAAATGTGTTAATTTGACTGGCCTTTCCTCCAATATAATATCAAATTGCAACATTTCCATTGGATATCAATAAGTTTGATGGTGACTAGCAAATTTCGTTTTAAACTACATCTACTTTATCTCACCATTTTAATCTAAATAATAATTTGTTGATGATCATGGTCCAGAAGATAAAGTCAGAAGACTGCGTGTTCTTATGCAACATGTTATTAAATTAAGACTTTTATTAATTAGTCTGCGTCTTATCTGATGAGGTATAACGGCAAAATGAGCAACATAGAGGGTATTTTTACCACAAGAGAAAAGTTTAACATGTCATATGATTCTCACTCATTATGAAACCTTTTAAATAAGTAATGTAAAAGTGCAATTTTGTATAAAAAATTGACGAAATATTTGGTACTAGATTGCATAATTGCTGTGCGTAATAATTATATTTAACCTGTAAATACATGTTCAATGATGTAGTAGTAGTTTTAAAAGGATCTGGATATTGTGAAAGCTACTTAAGCAAAGCAATGTAGACTTTTTTTGTCTAGTCAATAACTGTATATCCTGTTGAACATGTAAGTTCACAAGAACTAGTAAAAACTTGTATGTAAGGATCACCCATGGAAAGAGAAATACAAAATGTATGTGATTTTAATAATTTAATGAGCTGGCATACTTGTGGATCATCAGTAGTTGGTACCGCCGCTGCTGCTGCTGGACTATCAGTCTCTGAGGGTATCAGCCACCCAGAAGCTAGTGCTTTGGTATTGACATTATTCAAATGATACATCTTGTGTGTAAATTTCTACGTCATAAAGTTATATAATTGTGCTAAGGCTTAGATTGCAAACTTCCTCAAGCAGTATTGACATTTTGGCTCTTTTGTATAGGTCATTTTAGGGTTTGTTTTTTTGGACGAAAAAGAATTAAAAAAAACATAATGTAATATAAACTTTATTTAATACTACTGAAATTTCTTCGATGCCAAGAAAAATGTAATAAATACAGTGGAACCTGCCAGAACGAGCACATACATCAGGTACCAGCTCAGGCTTGTAGTCTTTATAAAAAAAATCCCTTCTCATAAAAATATCTTATTATCACAGCTTATAAAATCAACAACTTTATAAAGGGCACATAATTGTGCTCCCTTTGTAATTCTATACAGGTTTGACCATATAATTAAGAACACTTTTGTCAATATTGGACTTCCTTTATCAGTTAAGCCATGTTAAAACATACTATTACCAGCAGTGTATATAATGTATCACACACTGCATATGGTAAATCTATCCCTTTGAATAGGTTTAGTGATAAGACACAATTAAACAATATATTTTGCATGCAAATAAAAAACTTTTAGAATATAAAATATTGGTTAGTCAAGAATCATTGATGTGCTAATGTTCATAAAACATAGTCTTTTTAACATTTTGTATTTCATAATTGTCCTTTTTTCATTCATATTTGTAATGTCATATACCTGTTGATCATTAAAAGTTATAATTTATACAAAATCTATGCTTTGTTTTTATTTCCATTATATAAATTGACTTTGATCCTTTAATTTTCAGACACACATCTATGTTTAGATGAATCTTATATCTATCAGTGAAATTACTCAACAGTGCGTGTGGAATGATATTTAAGAGCAACAGCATCAGTTAATGTCAACTCAATATTTTTCTAATAAAACAAGCCCTGCAGTTGTGTATATTTCCAACGTAGATATTAGAAACAACCAATATGGTCCGGTGTCAAAATGCTATTGTGATTTGAGAATAAGATGTGCCGAGTCTACGGCCTATTAGTACTATTCACACACATAGTTCTCATTGAAATCAATATAAAACATTTAAATAATTACCAGTGATGCAGCGCTTGGTCCCGAGGGTAACACTCGCCCAGTACCAAGTGCTAAGAATTGGCATGATTTGAATGGTAATCTCGATAAATGTTATTGTCCGGAATCTACATTGTATATAGTTCATTGCCATCTTTAGATATCTCCGAGATTTTGTTTTGTTCTTAAAGAATTTGGTGTTAGTTGAAAATCTTATGTAGTGTTCGTTTAATGAATTCAACTTGCAACGATTTAATAGAGCACTATCTGATTAAAATACATATCCTGTGTCCAGACTTTGTTTACACATATCCTGTGTCCAGACTTTGTTTACTTGGATACATGATCTGTATTTTAATCAGATTGAATATAGAGCATGACATATAGTATAGACACTTGTCCATTGAAGACCTATATTGACCCCTAGATCTCTTGTCTACTTTTTAGCTCACCTGGCCATGGCCTAAAAGGCGAAGTGAATTTTTCTTATCACTTGGCGTCCGTCGTCATCTGTCGTCGTTAACTTTAAAAAAATCTTCTCTGAAACTACTGGGCCAAATCAAGTTAACCAAACTGGACCACAATCATCATTAGAGAATCTTGTTTTAAAAAACGTGTCCAATGACCCCACCTGCCAACCAACATGACCGACAGTTAAAAATATAACATAGGGGAAAATGCAAGTTTGGTCTAATATCTTGAAAACTGATATAAATGGAGAAAACCTGAAAGATGCAGAAATAATGATGAGATCTACCAATTGTCTATTTACTTCAAAACTGTCATTGTCAGTTTTTCTACCGAAAGTCGGTAATTCTCTCCGGGCACTCCGGCTTCCTCCACCAATAAAAACTGACCGCCACGAAACAGCACAAAAGTGTTGAAAGCGGCGTTGAACACCAATCAATGAATCAATCAAAAAACTGTCAGACGACTTCTTGTAAGAGTTATTGCCCTTAAATGACGAATTTTACCGAATTTTTTTCCATTTTTGTCTAATATCTGAAAAAAACTAGAATAGATAGAGAGAAACTTCATATACCAAAAATGATCAGCAAGACAAGATCTACAAATAATTTCCGATGGTCGAATTCGTGAGACGACTCCTTATTGGAGTTATTGCCCTTTAATGACGAATATTAAAAAAAAATTTGCGTTTTTGTCTAATATATGAAAAAGTATCATAGATAGATAGAATCTTAAATAAGCAAAAAATTATCAGCAAGACAAGATCTACAAATAAGTTCACAATCTTGAACTCGCCTGATGACCCCTTATCGGGATTATTGCCCTTTAATGACAATTTTTATCAATTTTTGCGTGCTTGCCTAATATCTATAAACTATAATAGATATATAGAAATTTAGATAAGCAACAATGATCAGCAATACAAGATCTACAAATACGTTTACAAGCTTTAAAGCGTCTGTCGACCCCTTATTTGAGTTATTGCCCTTTAATTATGATTTCTACCATTTTTTGCGTTTTTGTCTAATGTCTGAAAAAACTATAATAGATGGATAGAAAATTAAAGAAGCAAAACTGATCAGCAAGACTACTAATAAGTCAAATAGCCGAAAACGTCAGTCGGTTCATTGTAGGAGTTCTTGCTCTTGAATGACGATTTTTACCAGTATTTTACTTTTTTGCCTACTATCTTGAAAACTGTAAAAGATAGATAGACACTTTAAATTGAAAAATGTCAGCAAGACAGGATCTACAAATAAGTAAAATTTTGCAGAAATTGTCGGATTACTCTTTAAAGGAGTGATTGTCTTAAATGATAATTGTTTTACCGTTTTTTTGTGTATTAGATAAAAACTAAAGAAAATAGAGAGAAATTGTAAATAGAAAAATTATCATCAATACAAGATCAGCAAAACAAAAAGATTTTTGTCGTGAATTCTATTCTAGTCCACAACTTGATGTTGGAGAGAGTCCATTGTTGAAGATGCTCATTGACCTATGTGAGCGACACAAGCTCTTTAGAGCATCTAGTTGTCAGGCTTGACGGGTTGCATTGGCATTTCTCTTCATTCGTATGTCGTACAAAATGTATGTGCTTTTAACTGTCATGATATGAAAATGTATTATTCAAATGTTTACCGAAATGTTTTCTTGTCCGAAAACATTTGGATTTCAGAATTCATATGGATTAATGATCCTCTGAAGGTCTGGATGACGATTTTGCAGTCTTTAGAATTTCAAGACTGCAGCAGTACGTTTGATCCATTTGAAGATGCATCTGACAATTTTTCAAACAGTATCAGATTATATATTATATATGCATGATGAATAAAAGGACATGGTATAATAATGGGTGTTTTGATCCCCGCTGTTTATGTTCCTGTGAAAGGCAGGTTGCCTATAGCATCGGATTTCATTAAATAGTAAAATTATCATGTATGCCTTTCTTTATCCATATAAATTAGCACAATTACAAATAAGATTGTTAATTAAAGAATACATTGAAGTAACAAATTAAATATCATTAAATTTCAGTTTACTTAATGCTTACCATAATTAGAAATATGGTTTGCAACGGTTCAAAAGTTAGTTCTTTTTGCTATATCTGAACTACGAATTAAGTAATCTTTGAACAATTTGTCTACATCTACTAATTTGTTGTCACACTTCAAAAATGGAAGTATTATATTGACAATATGATACTTCCATGCTCCAACATACATATCATAAAAATTATCTAAGTTAGTCGTCATGATTTTATATTACGGAGTTCATTTTGAACCTAGCAACACAAATGTTGCTTAGCAATAGACCATCCTGATATTTTTTACAATGAAAGATATATATATTAGAGTAGAGTAAATGAGTGAAAACTTCAGGATGGTCTAGATTGAAGCTGATGTAGAATTTCTTCTCAAAACATTACACAATTGTAGAATTTTGGCACTTTTCGTCGTTCATAGTCTTTTAAAGGTCTCATGAACAGAAATGAGCAAATAATACAACAAAATAAGGTAATACATGGACAACCAGATACTACAGATCATTTCACATTCGGGATGAGCTTCAACTTTAAAGTTTCCAAATTCGAAGAAAAGGGGGACGGAAATGGCCCTTACCATACCTTGTGCTTTATCATAATTGAGTCAAGTATACCCTTAATAATTCTTGGAAGTTAAAGTTTACCGCAATTTCCCGGAAACAGTTTTAAAGGTTGAATCCATGTATCAATAATATTTCACCACGTAGACAGTCGTGGTGTTTACATTTTATAAACCTTAAGTTAACAAAGGAGAGGCGAAAATTACCAAAAGAACATTCAAACTCATAAGTCGGAAATGAACTGAAAACGCCATGGCTAAAAAAGAAAAAGACAAACAGACAAACAAAAGTACACAAAACACAACATAGAAAACTAAACACAGAGCAATACGAAGCCCACCAAAAACTGCCATTTGCAACTGCTTTTTACAGTAAGTTCATATGTTGTGCTATTACTCTCCACAAGAGACCAAATGACATAGAAATTAACAACTATAGGTCACCGTACGGCCTTCAACAATGAGCAAAACCCATACCGCATAGTCAGCTATAAAAGACCCCGAAATGACAAATGTAAAATAATTCAAACGAGAAAACTAACGGACAGATTTATGTACAAAACAATGAACGAAAAACAAATATGATATATAACAACAAACGACAACCACTGAATTACAGGCTCCTGACTTGGGACACCACTTTCCCATGTTATGGGAGGGTTGAGCGTTCACAAACATGTTTAACAGTCCCCCACATTCTTTATGTGCCTGTCCCAAGTTATGAACCTGAAGTTCAGTGGTTGTCGTTGGTTCATGTCTGATATATTAGGGTTTTTTTTGTAAATTATATATTGTTATAAATTAGACCATTTGTATTTTCGTTTGATTTGTTTCACATTTTGTCATGTCGGGTCCTTTTATATCTGATTATACGGTATGGGTTTTTTCTCATTGTTGAAGGCCGTACGGTTACCTATATAATTGCTCATATCTTCGGCACTTTGACCGCTGGTGGATAGTTGTCTCATTGGTAATCATACCAGATCTCCTTATTTATATATATATGTATATATATAAACAAGTCTAAATTGAAAACAACGTTCAAACCTTTGATTGCGTTGGATAAAAACCGCATTTTTATACGTGTGCATGTAAAACAAATTTCTTGGTAGAGGGGTCTAAATACAGCACAAACAACATTTTCCAAAAGACCAAAAAGTGAAAAGTATATTTTAACAAAACGCATTTGACTAACAGGTCGAACAACTGATGTTCTTAAACCCTGCTGACTGCCATTGGCGATTGCCAAATAAATTGATCACCAGATGTTACATGGATCTTAATTATTAATTTTAATACCAAACAGAAAACAATAAAATTGCGAAAAGATGGTAAATCGCAAACATGAGGTGCAAAAAAATTATACACCATATCCGGATTTCAACAATTAATGTCTCTTCAGTGATGTTAGGGATCGAAACGGTATTTGGAAAGCCATACAATTTACCTTAATTTAGGATTGACTCTTGAATTTTAAAGAGTCGAAATAGGATGAACGGATCATATAAACCCGAAGGAAAATATAATACAAGCCCAAACGAAAAAATATAAACTAGTCTAAATTGAAAACAACGTTCAAACCTATGCCTGCGTTGGATAAAAACCGCATTTTTTATACGTGTGCATGTAAAACAAATATCTTGGTAGAGGGGTCTAAATACATCACAAACAACATTTTCCAAAAGACCAAAAAGTGAAAAAGTATATTTTAACAAAACGCATTTGACTAAATGGTCGAACAACTGATGTTCTTAAACCCTGCTGACTGCCATTGGCGATTGCCAAATAAATTGATCACCAGATGTTACATAGATCTTAATTATTAATTTTAATACCAAACAGAAAACAATAAAATTGCGAAAAGATGGTAAATCGCAAACATGAGGTGCAAAAAATTTATACACCATATCCGGATTTCGACAATTAATGTCTCTTCAGTGATGTTAGGGATCGAAACGGTATTTGGAAAGTCATACAATTTACCTCTTCAAGTCTAAATTGAAAACAACGTTCAAACCTATGACTGCGCTGGATAAAAACCGCAATTTTTATACGTGTGCATGCAAAACAAATTTCAAGGTAGAGGGGTCTAAATACAGCACAAACAACATTTCCCAAAAGACCAAATATATATATATAGCAATAGTCTATTAATTGGTGGAATATTAATTGTACAATGTCTTGACCTATTCCTTAGGTTTGTTCATTTGCGTAGCCAACATAAACGGAAGTAAACTAAAATGTTCCGCATAATAAATACATAAGTGAAGGTCAGTTATGTATGAATAGAATAAAATTAGACTAAAATAGAATAAACTTATTTCGCCAAATTATGGCCCCAGGAAGTTAATAACACATCAACAATGAGATTGTAAACATTTACAGAATAATAATATATTCAATCTTGACAATAGACATGTAGTGAAAAGTCTTTAAAAGCTGAGGACAGGGGACTCGTAGTTATTTTTCCTTGTATGTATATATATACATGTATATGTATTCAAATCAGTTTATGTTTTGTTGTTGTTATTATTTGTTTTTGTCACAAGTATAATGGTGTACTTATATGACAATAAAGAATCGTATAATAAAAAACAACAACAACTTGTATGAGTAAGTCAGAAGTACTTTACTATAGTAATGAACTTCTATTAATGTTGAGATGATATGTGTGGGTTCTTTTTTTTTTGTTTTGAACGGAGTTTGCAATGAATGATAAGTATGTCAGAAATAAACAGGTTCATTCATATATTTAACATTATGGTTTTGCATTTATTAGTGTAAGGCTCTTATTGTTATGTATTCTTTATTAATATCTGTCACAATCCTCTGATGAATAAATTTACATTTTATCTGAGAGCAGCACTTTATACACAGTTGGAATCCATTTGTAACCTATATCCGCTGGATACCACCCAGCTAAAACTTTCTTACTAAATCAGACATTTGGCATCTCAGTGAAAATGGCATCCTTAAGCGTCACGTATCCAATTGGTCCGTTCACAACGCGATTATCCCATATTATACTTATGTTAAATCGGCGTTTTCTATTAAAAATATTTTTAAAAGATTTGTTTGCGTATTTTATAAATTTCAGTACACCTGAATTGAACATTGAAACTTTCTTTGTCAGTATTTGGGTCTTTTTCCTAAAATGTATACCAGAGTTTCCGCTCAGCTTCCATTATATTTCCTCCCAACAAAAATGTATACCCATTGCTCTGAATGATGTTTATTATGGAAGTATTTTACTCCGTTGATTTTCTTTTAAAAACGCCATTGACCGGCAAGGGATTTCAGAATTAAATTATTATGCAAAAACACTGGTTTTTAAAAAAGTAATTCAACATCAACTGATACTGACGCTTCTTAAAATTGTATATTTACGTACAGTGAAAAGAAATCTGGTCAGAAACTAGGACTATAATATATCAGTCCCAGTGGGAACAGAAATTATTGAAAGTTTGTTTTGTCCATTAGTTAAGACCATGGAAGTATTATATTGACAATAATATTTCCATGCTAAGACTAACAAAGAATATATTATGACGTTGGAAATATTTCGAAATTCTTAATCACTTTCATAGAGATACTATAGTTACGGTAAAACCTTCTATCATGGAAATTTTATCCGTGTTGGAAAATAACACAGATTCGTTTCAATAAATATTCAATTGACCTGAAATATTTAAAGATCGATTCACCTGTCAACTATTTGTTTAATATTTTTGTCGATAAAAACTATCGGTTAATTTAAAAATGTTTAGTTTTACGACAGAGTATTCGTTTTATTATTTTCCATTGATTGTCTCTCCATGCATACATGTATAATTTCACAAGTAAAGAATTAACAGATTTACTTGATGCTTTGGAAATAGTGGTGGGAAAATTAGAGATTAAAACAAGAAACTCGACCTGGGGGTTAATACAAAAACATTTGTGCTTGCTGTTGTAAAAATAACTTTTCATGTATTACAGATAAAAATAAATATATACAGTCGGATGAGTGTAAACATTGAGAAATATTCATAAAAATATTATGAATATGCTCGATACACAAGATTTCTGAAAAATCAGAGACATATATGTTTATATTCAAGGGTATAGTGCATTCTGAGAAATATTTACTATAAGTCTTATTTCTTATTTCTTGAACGACCCACTTCCCACGTCATTCAACCGATAAAATTAGCATTCCTTACGCGCCCTATAAACCATATAAGAAGTAAAAGATCGCACAGGAGCGTAAATATTTACAAATCGTCGTTTTCACCTCCCTGACCCTGTCACGTGACAATCGTTTATCAATGAAAGTTAGGCTGGGAAATAATTCCATGACGCATGTCATGAATAATTAACTTTACTACAAATTACACACAATTTCAATTGTTTATTTTCATACTGAAATAGGAAGCGAACGAAGAAACATATCAAATATACTGATATAGCGTGTCTTGAAATTAACTAAACAAGTGAAATAAAATCGTCATAATTAAAATGATGAGAGACACAAAAGCTGTTGATTCAGAGTCTGGATTTTTACCAGTTTCTGGTATGGAAGATGGAGTTGTTGATGGCGGAGAAAATGTCCAGTATCTCTTCCCAGGCGTTCAAGTCGTTGAAGTTGTAAGTAAAGCTTTAGGAAATTTATTATTATATTGCTGATTCCTTTTCCAGTGCGTTCTCTTAAATAATTACTCATACGCGATTTCATACTCATAAAATATAATAATATCTTGATGAGTTTCTTCTTTTGTTAAGTTCTTTTAAAAACAATGGTATAAAATAAAAAAATTGTAGCGTTTGAAAAATGACAACCGATGTCATCATGCGAGATAAAAATCTTTAAAAATCCACTATATATATACAGTTTCACATCTTATTCTGTTTCGCGCCATTTTGTGCCATTTAACCTAAAAGTGAATAATAATAATAATAATAACAATAATATTAATGGATAAATGTGGTTTTCGGTGTCAAAAAGGGGTGTATATGTGCTCTCTGTCCATATAATACTTCCATGCTCATACATAAAATTATAAACATTTGGAGTATATGTATCTGTATACAAACAAATCCACATGGCGCTAAGAAGGAAGTCATAATACAAAAACACAGGGGAAATCATACTTTAAAATTTCATAAAGGCGGAAAAATTTAATGACTTTATTAGTTGTGACGTATATCTTCCTCGGACTATTTTACAAATCATAAGAAATTTAAATGTTCAATCATTTATTTGTTTGCCTTTTATTTTGACTACTCCTTTTTAACATGTTTATCAAGTGGTGCATATAATATGTCACCTAAACTATTTACTATTTGTATCAAACAAACAATTTTTTTTTTTAAGAAATGCACATTTATAACCCGAGGGATTGAAGGAAAGTACTATTTGTAAGTTTGTATCATACATGTCATACCCAGCAAGATAAATGGCATTTTTGTTTTCAGGAAAATCAATCAGTCTCTTATCAAATGTCAACAAAGGAGTGAAGATAAACACATGTGACCACATGGGGTGTAGGTTGTTGGAAACCCCCGGGTGAAAACATATAACATATGGGATTCCCATGGGTTCTATTAGTTAATAATTTGTTCCTACTTTATTTGTCCAAATTCAGAAATCCTTCGTGTTGTTACTTATCTAACTTGTATTTGGCAGTATTATTTGATTCTTGTTTACTTCTATATATTCTTGAACGTTGGCCAACTTTATTGAATAATTAGTTTTTGAGTGTTACAAAGTGTAGGATTGGCTAAAGTATGTTTATGTTTTGTTTCTATTTCTGTACATTAGTGCTCTTTGCATCGTCAAATATAGCACATGATATGTGTTTTGCCATGGTTACCAGACTTTTCCACAAGATTCCTGAATGATGACGTATATTTGCTAATAATCGATAAGAAGTTTCTTAATTGGCTAGAAATAACTGATTTGAAACATATTCCTGCTTTGGTACATTTTTGACTGATAATTAGCTGTTTTTCGTTGATTAGAAATATATCAGTTAAATCGATCTGAATACTGAATATTGATTCGTGAGAAATCCAGTTGTTTCTGGCATGCTCTGGGTTTGACTGCTTTATACCAGATACAACATGTAAAATCAGTAATGCAATCTGTTTTACGACTGTATCATCTTATAGAATTGATTCTTTATAGAAACTTAACGCCTTGAAAAGAAATTAAGTTCACTGGAAAATTTATTCATGCTTATTTACAAATCAACCTGAAAGTGATATCTGGTAAACTTTGAGAAAACCGAGTTTTCTCCACCTTACAAACTGAAAATTACATGTTTTATACCATGTTCGGATTCGGGAGGGAGAAGGACAGCCACACAAGTAACCTAGTGTCATTTCATTCAAAGTTTTTGCTCTCTAATGGCAGACTTTGTCGCCACTTTTTTTACCTCTAGATCTGATCATAATTTAATTTTTCAATAAAGCTCAATTCCTGGTTAGTAAAAGGATGTCGGTAACATTAAAAGTAAAATGTCACTTTTCTTTACGCAAATATTTGTTAGGGTCAACACTGACCATTTAACGATCAATGTGTCATGATATTAATAAATAAGTCTTTTGACCAAATGTGACTTTATTTGATTAGAAATAACAATATATCTATCACGGTATTTGAAAGCCGCAAGTAAACAAATGTGGGATTGAAATTTTCGATATAATAGATTATGTAGAGTTATATAATAAATAATCTTTTATCCAAGACATTATTCAAGTGAACAAATAAGACTTTGATCAAAATATTCCTTCTGTAATGAATAAAAGTTAGGAGATGTGGGGAATACGTCAATGGGACAACAACTTGCTTAACTACAAAATATAGACAAATAAGACACCAATAACTTTAAATACAACTAACAAATAATACATTGAAAACATGATTTTTAAAGCTGAGGTGTTCCTTTTTTTCAAATAACGGATTTCAGTGACGTGCCAAACCACGTTACTCTGGTTATTTTGTGACATTATCCCGGCAACGTTCTTAGTTTTAATGTTTTTTATCAGACATGACATAAAGTTAAGCCTTTTCAACTGATTTTTATACGACCGCAAAAATTAAAAATTTTTTGGTCGTATATTGGTATGACGTTGGCGTCGTCGTCGTCGTCGTCGTCGTCGTCCGGCGTCGTCCGGCGTCGTCCGAAGACACATTGGTTTTCGCACTCTAACTTTAGTTTAAGTGAATGGATCTCCATGAAATTTTACCATAAGGTTCAATACCACGAAAGGAAGGTTGGGATTGATTTTGGGGGTTATGGTACCAACAGTTAAGGAATTAGGGGCCAAAAAGGGGCCAAAAATAAGCATTTTTGTAACTTCCAGACAATAACTTGTGTGTAAGTGTATGGATCTCTCTGACATTGTACCACAAGGTTCCATATCACAAAGGGAAGGCTGTAATTGATTTTGGGGGTAATTGCCTCAAAATTTTAGGAATTAGGGGCCAAAAAAGGGCCAAAAAACAAGCAATTTTCTAGTTTCATGACAATAACTTGTGTGTAAGTGTTTGGATATTTCTGAAATTGTACTACAAGGTTCCATATCACAAAGGGAAAGCTGGAATTGAGTTTGGGGGTAATTGCCCGAAACGTTTAGGAATTGGGGGCCAAAAAGGGGCCAAAAATAAGCATTTTTCTAGTTTCCAGACAATAACTTGTGTTCAAGTGTATGGATCTCTCTGAAATTGTACTGCAAGGTACCATACCACAAAGGGAAGGCTGTGATTGAGTTTGGGGGTGATGAATCATAAGGGGGTTCAAAAAATTTGGGGGGGGGGGATTTTTTTTTTTTTTTTTTTAATTTTCCATTTTAAGTTGGTTATTTCTGATTTATATTTAAAAGCAAATAATAATGATATGGTAGGAGATACACACCAAACAGGATGTGTAAATTATTATATAATAAGTATTGTGCAATAGCAAGAAATTTTCAATTGCACAGTATTGCACAATAGCAAGAAATCTTCAATTGCACAGTATTGCGCAATAGCAAGAAATCTTCAATTGCACAGTATTGCGCAATAGCAAGAAATATCCAATAGCACAATATTGCGCAATAGCAAGAAATTGTCAATTGTACAGTATTGCGCAATAGCAAGAAATATTCAATTGCACAGTATTGTGCAAAAGAAGATACTTCGTATAAATTGCTTATTTCTTTATCAATTTCAATGGGGTTTTATTTTTGAATTCTTGGGGTTCTTTAATATGCTGAATCTAACCGTGTATTAAGTTTTTGGATTTTGGGCCCGGTTTTTAAATTGGTCCACATTGAGGTCCAAAGGGTCCAAAATTTAACTTTGTTTGATTTCATCAAAAATTGAATTATTGGGGTTCTTTGATATGCCGAATCTAACCGTGTATTTAGATTCTTAATTTTTGGTTCCGTTTTCAAATTGGTCTACATTAAGGTCCAAAGGGTCCAAAATTAAACTTAGTTTGATTTTAACAAAAATTGAATTTTTAGGGTTCTTTGATATGCTGAATCTGAACATGTATTTAGATTTTTGATTATGGGCCCAGTTTTCAAGTTGGTCAAAATCGGGGTCCAAAATTAAACTTTGTTTGATTTCAACAAAAATTGAATATATGGGGTTCTTTGATATGCTGAATCTAACCATGTATTTAGATTTTTGATTATGGGCCCAGTTTTCAAGTTGGTCCAAATCGGGGTCCAAAATTAAACTTTGTTTGATTTCAACAAAAATTGAATATATGGGGTTCTTTGATATGCTGAATCTAACCATGTATTTAGATTTTTGATTTTTGGGCCCCGTTATCAACTTTGTCCACATTGAGGTCAAAAGGGTCCAAAATTAAACTTTGTTTGATTTCATCAAAAATTGAATTCTTGGGGTTCTTTGATATGCTGAATCTAACCATGTATTTAGATTTTGGATATTGGACCATAATAGGTGAATGTCCAATTTAAAATTTTTAAGTTCTTAGACCACATTCATTCTGTGTCAGAAACCTATGCTGTGTCAAATATTTAATCACAATCCAAATTCAGAGCTGTATCAAGCTTTAATGTTGTGTCCATACTTGCCCCAACTGTTCAGGGTTCGACCTCTGCGGTCGTATCAAGCTGCGCCCTGCGGAGCATTTTATTTATAGTTTGTTCTTATGTTGTACTGTTACACCACTAGCTAGATTAGGTGGAGGTTTTGGCGCCAGCAAACATGTTTAATCCCGCCACATTCTGTATGTGCCTGTTCCAAGTCAGAAGCCTGTAATTCAGTGGTTGTCGTTTATTGCCGTATATCTTATTTGTTTTTCGTTTGTTGTTTTTGTACATAAATCAGGCCGTTAGTTTTGTCGTTTGAATTGTTTTACATTTGTTCTTTCTGGGCCTTTTATAGCTTACTATGCGGTTTGTTCATTGTTGAAGGCCGTACGCTGACCTACAATAATTATTGTTCACTTTTACATTATTTGGTTTTTTGAGTTGTCTCATTGGCAATCTTACGACATCTTCGTATGTTTATTTAATTGTTTAGTCTGTGCATGTTATTGTAACTATAGCCTAAAATGCCAAAATGATAGTATTGTCGCAAAGGTCTTCCTGTCGTTTGAATTTTGAAGAAGTTAAGGTAGCTTCCATTGGCACTATAACATGTAAAATAAATCGTTGTTGTCTACATGAAAAAGAAAATTTCTTTTTTAAACGTAATTCCTGAATTTCAATTTTTACAACTTATATGACATCAGCTGTTTATTATTTATATATATTCATATACATATACTGGTATATATTTTAATTTAATTTTATTTTCAGAAAGAACTTCATGTCACGAACCCACAACGAAAAGACTACGATGTATCCAGTTCATTCAGTTCTATGGGAAGTGATGGAAGTGATGGAAGTGATGGAAGTGCAGATTTCAATGCAAAACTGGAAGAATGCCAGGAAAGAGCAGCATGGGGTGGCAAATTAGAATTTATGTTGACAATGATTGGATATGCCGTCGGACTTGGAAATGTTTGGCGATTCCCATACCTCTGCTACAAAAACGGTGGAGGTGGGTGTCATATACATCAAATGTAGAAAAGGGGGTTAAATTTTGACAAAAGAAAAAAACAAATATTCTATGAGTAAAACAGTTTCAATCAAATTTCATATTTATATGCATTACTTTCATGGAGCGCACAGCTCTGAAAAAGACATGTACCAAAAGAGAACATGATACTAAAGTAGTTTATTCCATCTGTTGATTTGATAATGTGTTTTTATTTTCGATGTAAATATAACCTTGTCTTGATCACCTATATTTTCCAGGTGCGTTTTTGTTGCCTTACTGCATCATGTTAGCTGTAGTTGGTTTGCCGTTGTTCTACATGGAGCTGGCGCTAGGACAGTACGCTAGTCTAGGTCCAATAACAATATGGAGATTAAACCCTCTGATGAAAGGTAAGTTAAACGTGATTTGCATACATAAGCAGTTTTTTTTTTTTGCTTTTCGTATTTAACAATATGTTACACCAAATTAAGTATTTTAAACACTATTTTTCCTCAAATAGACGATTTAAGTTTAACGTTCTCTGATAATGTACGCTTACTGATCTTGATATAACTTTGAATCATCACTTACGCATATGCATGCAGGATCATGTAGTACATGTATAGATAACAAGTTTTAGAGTTTTGAAAAAAAGCATTTCAGTCAAAAAAAAATGCTTGTGTTTATGACAAGTGCATAGCTTGATTTTGAAATCCGATTATTTGAGAGAGAAAAGGTCTTTAAAAAATAAAATGCACTATTTTCTTTTTCTTTCAGGTCTTGGCTATTCAATGGTTATTGTGTCATGGTTAATCGGATTATATTACAATGTTGTTATAGCGCACGTTCTGTATTATCTCTACTCTTCTTTTACTTCCGTGTTACCATGGACAACGTGTGATAATGATTGGAACACCAAGCACTGCCTTATTCCCACCGACTCTCAATATATGAGAAATGGTATGTATATTTGCATTAGGAAAAAGTTATTTAAAGCCATCAGAAATGATATTGAAATATAGAACTTTAGTACATGTGCATGTCTTGAAGTTTTGAATATTTGATTAACATATTTTGTTTTGAATCATACATACGCAAATCCATACACCAAAAAAGCATAAGTTACACAATTGTGCTGATTATATTGGAGCTTACTTTGAGTTCTTTTTGTTTACAGAAACAATCAATGCAACTCTCGAGAATACTACTACGAGTTCTCCCCAGCTCAACTTCACCAGAACTCCAAGCGAGGAATACTACAGGTATAATCATATTCAGTTAATTTGGTCAAATCTTCTGCCGTATGTTTTATTACAAAAAAAATCTTGCATATTGCAGAGGAGTTGACCATACCAAATACTATTCGTATTGTTTAACTCGATTGTTGTAGGCTTGATTAGTTTACCGTACCTGAAAGTTTTCATAGTATCCGGATTTTCATTGCAGGTTTAATGTACTTTCACAGAATGACTCTATAGATGAGTTTGGAACCATCCAATGGCATTTAGCGTTATCTCTGTTTATTGCTTGGCTCCTGGTGTTTTTAGTCTTAATGAAAGGAATCAAGTCTTTAGGAAAGGTATGTTCCAGATTTTGTAAAGCATAATAATAAAGATATGTTTTGTTTCATTATGCAAATAACGGTATTACAATAACAGTCTTTTGCATTTTACTATGCACCGTTCCGTTTTTGTACAGATAAAAGTAATAGTTGTAAGTATATATAGGCCCCTCATGTCGTTAACAAGTATTACTTTACAATACACTCAAGTAGGAAACGCTTGCGCTTTCCCATAAAAAATCTATAGCCCATAAGCAGTAATAATCACAACAAAAGGCTACTAAATTCTCTTTCGTAATATTGCACTAGTGTGTACTATGGCAAAATGCAATTTGACCGTTTTTCGCGATTAGAACACTGATTTCAAAGAAACACGTTTGTTTGTTTTGTTTTCTTTTCTACACAGATTTTATAGTAGTAAAAAAAAATAATTTATTATAATATAATATTACCAATCCTACTATAACAAATCCTTCGTTTCTATGATTGAATGTTTAAACATCATGATTGCATGAGCCGTTTAAAATATAAAACCTATCAATATAAATGGAAAAGCGACATTGAAAGAGGTGAACTGTAAATAAGTTTTAGAAGTAACATGTGTTGCTCAGAAGCCGGATATTATTAAGTGGTGTCCGTATCCTGTTTTTATAAATCTATTTCTTGGTAATGAACTTTGATTTCCTATGATAAGTATCAGTAAACATAAAAAACGATAAATATGGCGCATTATTAGTAAACAATGTATTGTTGACATGATTTGTATTTCCATTGAATATTTTATATTTACCTTCAAAAACAAAATAATGTAACAGCATGAAAAAAGTAATAAGGGAAAAACACATTACAAACAAACACTAACACGTTTCAATCACTAGATATGTAAGGGTCTGGATGGAGGGTCCTTCAGTTCTGTATTCTTTAACTTTTTAGGCCATTTTTCTCTATTCTTTATATTTTTTGCCCATTATTCTCTATTCTTTATGTTTAAGCACCTCATTATTCTCTATTCATTATTTTTTTGTCTATTTTTGTCAATTCATTATATTTATTGCCCATTATTCTCTATTCTGTAAACCTCCATCCACACCCTCACATGTCAAATAAAAATTATCAAAATTTTATCCTACTTTTACTTTTTTTATAGGTTGTATATTTCACTGCCATATTCCCCTATATTATGCTGACAGTTTTGTTTATCCGGGGTGTTACCTTACCAGGAGCAGGCACTGGAATTGCGTACTATTTGAAACCCGACTTCGAACGTCTACTAGACCCACGTGTCTGGAGTGATGCCGCAACACAGATCTTCTACTCGCTGAGTGCCTGCTCAGGAGGATTAATTGCTATGGCAAGCTACAACAAATTCAACAACAACTGTTATCGAGATTCATTAATTGTATGCTTTATCAACTGTGGTACAAGTATTTTTGCAGGTCTTGTCATCTTTTCTGTTCTGGGTTTCATGGCATTAGAAAAAGGAGTAGGAATAGAGGATGTCGCTGATGATGGTATGTAATTTTTAAAGATACAATACAATATTATCTTAATCATATAAAATATGATTTCACTATGCACTTAAATCTTAATAACAATATTTAAAAAAAACAAATCATGAATGAGGAACTATCATGCAGATTTCGTTTCAGCATATAAAATCGGTCTATAGTCATGATAGTGTAATTTTTCAATCTATATATATTCTTTTTTATAGGACCTGGATTGGCTTTTGTTGTTTATCCAGAAGCACTCTCCCGTATGCCTGTTTCACCGATGTGGGCAGTGTTTTTCTTCATCATGATGGCTACTCTTGGCTTCGGTTCAGAGGTAAGTTTCATGTGCATTTCATCAATTGTGAGCAAAAAAAATTTCCACGATATTATTTGTAATTAGAAATTTAAGACTATCTGAAATTCAGTTTAAAACACAAGAAAAATGAAGACTACTGCATAAATTAGTAGATTGATTTTGTTTTTAGATTCTTAATATATCGATATAGAAAATTATTTTTTGTTTGTTTCAGTTTTCAATTATTGAATGCGTACTGAGTGCAATAGGAGATGAATTCCCCATTTTGAGAAAAGAAAGGAAATACAATATTGCTTTCCGTGCAATCTTTTGCTCTGTTGCATTTTTACTGGGACTTCCAATGATATGTAATGTAAGTATTAGTTTTAAGTAAAGTGTGTACCATTAAGTCAGATAACCTTAATATAGACAAAGCGAGTACTATTACATCATGTTTAAAAATATCTTTGGTGAAAGTTTGATCGCATGACGATGTGAACTCACGTGGTTGAACTTATCTCTATTTATTTCCATGGAAAGATTGAATGAATGTCTATGTTCTGTAATTAATTGGTACTTATTTTATCGATATCAAATTTATGTTGATTGACCATCTATCAAAGGAATCTTGTTCAGCCTTACACTTGGGACAGATAGCTAAATGTACAATCTATATTTTATTTATTGGAGAATAAGCAATAATTTTTATTTTTCATTGCGGTTAATGAACAAAGAGTAATGCCACGGAAAAAAGATTAAAGATTTAGATGTACATAATATTTTTAAGAGTGATGTTCAGTTCTTGGTTCGAATGAATACGTTCTTATTTTGTGTGAAATTCGTACTTTCCAATGAAAATTACTGATAATGAATTATACATAGAAGACAATAAGTAAAAAGATGATTTGCTTCGTTTTTTCTTGACAGTTAAACATTTTCTTCTCTGATGGTTTGATATCTTGTTTATCCACCATAAAAGGCATAACTTTCATCTTCGTAATGACAGAAAATGGACTTAACTAGTCAATATAAAATACAAATATAATAATTTTGATGATGTCAAATATTGATGATGCTGACTTGAACATCAGTTGAAAATTAAAGTTTGATATACATGATATACGCACTTTGAATTAATGTCATTATTGCTTCGTCCTGAATATGCATGAAATAATTGCCTAGCGCGTTATTCAACCAATCATCTAATTCATCATTGTTTTTGATTTTTCAGGGTGGTATATTCTTGTTGAACCTGGTAGATTATAGTGTAGGCGGATTCCCACTGTTAGTTGTTGGTCTGGTGGAACTGATTACTATCAATTGGGTCTATGGTAAGTACATATACAGAAATATAATGCCGAACTTGAACAAGACATCTTGGGTGATTCAGTTCTAAAAATAGAATTCCATCAGCCGTTAATTTTCGTCCGAGAACAGGTATTGGTATCATAGCATAGAGAAAGGAAATCCTAGCGGTTTCAAGATTTACTACAGATCAATTGTAGATCTGTAGATGTGTTTTGTGTTTATATTTTGTTCTGCTACTGTTGCATTCCACAAATCTCATTTATTAATTTGTAACAAGTTATCCATGACTAATGGTCATCTGCAAAAACAAAGAAACGTTACTTCTTGTACATACTTGTATGTCTGTCGTATATTTCATAATATTTGGCATAAAATTATTTTGAGACAATGTTTTATATCCTTTCTGTTACTTCCTTAGGTTACAGCAAGTTTGCAGACAATATAAACATGATGCTTGGCCATCAACCTGGCAAATACTGGTATATATGTTGGAGATATGGATCCGCGTTAGTCATTGCTGTAAGTTGTGTGCTTTATTTTCAACAATGATTTTTATTATAAAAAAAAATACAGTAATACTTAATTATTATTAGATAATGTTAAAATTGTGTTAAGGGTGACAATCATGCTGAAAATGAAGAAAAGTATACAAATATTAGGCTATTTTTAAAATTGAAGTAATTTTTATTTGCATTAATTTTAATGTTAACATCGTCATTTAAGATTTGATACTAGAATTCAATGAACATGAAGGTAATATTTGTATTTGCACATTTTTGATATGTACTTTTTATCACATTACCTTTTTTTGTAGATAACTATAATTATGAACATTGCTATGTACAAAGAACCTGACCTTGATGATGTTCTGTATCCAGAATGGGCAAAAAGTCTAGGATGGTTGATTGCTATGTTCCCTATAGTTGTTATACCAGCATGGTTCCTATATAAATACTGCCGAATTGGAGGATTTGAAGTGAGTAATACAGTCATTAAACACTAAATATATCACGATTCAAAACTGCTTGGTAGGATGTGCTTTAACATGACTAACACATCTAGACGAAAAGAAACTACACGTATATCACGAAACAGTTATTGTTTAAAGCGAAACATCTTTTGTATTGGTATCACCAAAAACTTTCGAAATAAATGAAAAGTGATATTCAAATATGACTCTGTCTATGCACCCCTTGAAATTATTACTCAATATTGTTTATAGAAACGTAATGGTTAAAAGCATCCAAATTTTACAATGTATTCAAAATAAGTGATATTTAAAATATTCCAAACATGCAATACTTTCTAAAAGTAATTGCAGATTTTTACTTGTAATATGTCACTGAGAGTATGCTTCATCTGCATCATATCTGATAATGCACCAAACTGTGTAATTCTCCCGTAATGCCAACGTATCAAAAACAGCATTTATTATTTTACAGTTGATGAAGGATGGGGTGAAACCATTACCAACATGGGGACCAATCAGTAAAAGTAAACAGAGACAATATGCCGATGTAGAAATCAATGTAGATAAACGTCTATCAAATCCAGCATTTGCTAGATTAATGGGAAGTAACATGTCTAATGCAACAACAGTAACCGAGTGCTCCCCGGCATCATCGACATTGAACTTGATCAGGAGCAAAAATTTAAGTGAATCAGATGTTTGATGACAGTTTTATTTAGAATGGACGTTAAACGGTTATTCGGGTATTTCAGATACCATCTGGACATATGGAAGTATCGTTCATGATTGGATATATACTGACACTGCCTGCATGCAGCTCTGACACCGTCAAACTAAAGTGATCTGTCTGTTAAAGTAATTTGCGATGCAGGTTCAGTAATGTCAAAACCTGCAATCAAAAATTGATTAGATCTGATTGTTTTCGGTTTTAAAAATAAACTTGGGTAACTACTAAAGGACAATTTAATATCAATTTTTTTTATTTGTTTTATTTTATAAATTCATTGTCTAGTACAGTTATAAAGTTTTCTTCAGTTTTGATTTTTAAAAGTGTAGTTAAATATGAAGCAGACTGAGAGATGTTGCCACAATTTCCTCTCGCTGATGTTTAAGTTTATAAGTAAATATAATTATAGGAAACGTTTAGGGTGTTTTCACAAGACGCGCACCTATTGATTGAGGAAAATTCATTTGGCATTAACTATTATCCATCAAAAGTTTCAAAAGTTGTCATAATTAGCTATGGAGATATCTTTTAAAACAGTTGTTTTTGACCATTATCATACTTTCATTATTGAGCAGGATCTCATTTGCCATAGTGTGTTCTATACATATATACGTTTTGTGGTTTGTTATTTAAGTAGTATATATACTTTTAAATAGCGATGTTTTAGTTATTGTTAAAAGTGATATGACAAATAATAGTAAATGAGAAGATGAATATTTGTAAATACAAAATGTAAGTTGAAGGATTTGTTTGATTTTATCCGTAGTCATTATTAGAAACATGAATGTCCAGTGTAAAAAGTGTGTGAATGGTGTGCTAAGTTTGGATGTTTGTTGTAATTTTTTATGGGGAGGGGAAGTTTATGGAGAATATTGATGGCATTGTTTATATATGTTTCTATTTTGCTAGTTTACACTGCCAATTACCAGAGTCTAGTTAATTATTATTTTTATACTAACACCACTGACTTTAAATCAGTGATTTACATATATTTACATGATATCAGGAATATTTTTTCTCTTGAACTATTCAGTAAGGTGACAAAACGGGTCTCTCAAAATGAAAAATAATTTGATTAGAAACATATCTAATATATTGCATTCATTTCAAGAGTAAAATTTGAACAGAAATTTTATATCAGGAAGCAATTTTGGATTACAAAGGATAAATTGTCTTCCTTTTTAGATGCAGCGGATAACATATAAAGTAGAGGCGATTCTAAATTCTTATTGGTCAACTTTTATTTTAATAATATTTTTTGGAATTTAATGACCTTTACAAAGATTCACGATTTCCACAGTCCGACCGATAATCATGCATCAAAGATTACACTTATGTTCCCAAATGAAGCCTATTTTAAATCACGTATTACCGTAGATACTCGCCTAATAGTCGATCCTACTATAAGTCGGGGGCCCTTTTCAGCTCCAAATTCTAAGGATTTAGTCTTGACCCTCGTATAAGTCGGACAAAATTTGGGCATTTTTTTTTTCAGCTGACAGTAACTGAACGCCGGTAAAACCAATGCAAATCCAGGAATAATATTCATTTCTGCATTAATGTTTGTTTGGTTTGAATTTAGTTGATGCTCATCATGATAATTTATATTGCTGTTAATAATAAAGATGTATTCATTTCTCTTGTTTTGTTCACTGTTCAAATGTTAGATTAGCCATGTGTTGTTTACATAATGCATCAATGATTTTGTAGGGTATGACTAATAACCTATTGTTTGAGAAAAGCGAATATAAACCAATATGAACCTGAAAAATTTAAAGTCAATCAACACTTGATGAAAATATTTTTCACTGCATACATAACTTGGTGTTAAATGAGCATGTACACTTCATAATTCTTATTATATTGTGATGATTAAAGGATTAAAAAAATTAAGTGAAGCTAATCAATATATTAAAATAACTAACTCCAACTCATTAGTGTCATCTGTTTACCTATCACTGATAGTTTTCACACCTTTAGTAAATACAACTCTTTGTCTCTTAATTGGGGTTATCAATGGATTATATTGGCTTGTCAATCAATTTTGTAATTTTTGTTTACCTGAGACACTTTAATGAATAATATTTTGATTTTGGGAATGAATCTTAAAATTATTTTTTGATTATTATATGATTTATAAGCATTGAATTGATATCATGATATCACAATAATGACACAATAACTCCGCTGAAAACATCCTTTCACATATTTGGTACATTGTTATCTCCTTTTCATTTTTGGTTCTTGGCTCTTCTTTTGGGTTTATAGGAAAACCATGTGACCATGAAAATCAATACACAAACCGGAAACAGTAGAATTTCAACACGAATTTGCAGAAAATGTTTACCAAGGAACAAATAAAACACAAAGACAGTATTGTAGTCATTTATTATCAACAAAAACTTTTTATTTATTGATTTATGTAGGTTTGGCAATCAAAAACGTAGTTTTGACCAGGAAATTCACTCCTGACCACTTTTCTCAAGCTTGGATTTTTCCTCTGGTCGCTAGATCTCGTCTATTAGTCGGTCCCCCTCTCTGGATTATGAATTTTACTCCCAATTTTCCGACTAATAAGCGAGTAGGAACGGTACTTATAATCTCTTATACCACTGTCATTTACTTGTTTTTACAAAAAGTGTCAGGAATAATGTATTATTGGTTTTTTATAAAGACTAGTCAATCTGGTGACTATTGTGTGATTTTGGAACCATGTAGAGAGCCTTCTCTTAAACTTCCAGATCAATCCTAAATAAGCCAAGTAGTAGAATACTGAGAGTCTATTCAACGATTAATCATTTCCTTAAAAATGGACAAAATTCATGTCCCCATTGAAAATTCTTAAATTTTATTGGTTCTGTTTTCTTACTGTGATATTATCTATGCACGTGGGATTGACTAATATTCCGGACAAATAACGTGAGCTTTGAAAACCATTTGATATCAGCTGCAGACGACAGGCTATTATGCACCTTCCGTGTAATCAATACAGGCTTCCTGTAAATTGTATTATATTGAAAAATTATCTGCAAAAAATTCAACCCCCTTTTTTATATCTTGAATACGTAGGAATCTTAAATGAATATGCATTCTGATTTGTTTGTTGCTGATAATAGTCACAAAATTTGTATAAACGTTATAATTGAATACTTGATTATTGAAAAGTCAATTTGTTTTTATTTTTGTATGTAATGCTTTGCAGTTTGTTATTTACAATAAAAGTGGAATTGAACTTATTTGTTGTTTTGTACTACATATATGTTTTAGACATTTCGACCCATTGCCCTGTATGCTAACATTACATTCATGTCCGATATAAACCTCTTTTATTTCTAGTCAGTTGGGAAATAGGCACAAATCTTCCAACGTAACTTTTGTTGACTTTTTGCCCAAATAAGAGATATATTGTTACAGGAATTCCTGTACATTATTTTTTTGGGTTTTTATACGACCGCAAAAACATTTTTGTGGTCGTATATTGGTATGACGTTGGCGTCGTCGTCGTCGTCGTCGTCGTCGTCGTCCGGCGTCGTCCGGCGTCGTCCGAAGACACTTGGTTTTCGCACTCTAACTTTAGTTTAAGTGAATGGATCTTTATGAAATTTTACCACAAGGTTCAATACCACAAAAGGAAGGTTGGGATTGATTTTGGGGGTTATGGTAATAACAGTAAAGGAATTAGGGGCCAAAAAGGGGCCAAAAATAAGCATTTTTGTAACTTCCAGACATAACTTGTGTGTTAGTGTATGGATCTCTCTGACATTGTACCACAAGGTTCCATATCACTAAAGGAATGCTGGGATTGATTTTGGGGGTAATTGCCTCCAAATTTTAGGAATTAGGGGCCAAAAAAGGGGCAAAAAACAAGCATTTTTCTAGTTTCATGACAATAACTTGTGTGTAAGTGTATGGATCTTTCTGAAATTGTACTACAAGGTTCCATATCAGAAAGGGAAAGCTGGGTTTGAGTTTGGGGGTAATTGCCCTAAACGTTTAGGAATTTGGGGCCAAAAAGGGGCCAAAAAACACATTTTTTTCTAGTTTCCAGACAATAACTTGTGTTCAAGTGTATGGATCTCTCTGAAATTGTACTGCAAGGTACCATACCACAAAGGGAAGGCTGGTATTGAGTTTGGGGGTGATGAATCATAATGGGGGTTCAAAAAATTTTGGGGGGGGATTTATTTTTTTTTTCCTTTTTTTCTTTTTTTCTTTTTTTGTTTCTTTTAAAATTTTCCATTTTAAGTTGGTTATTTCTGATTTATATTTAAAATCAAATAATAATGATATGGTAGGAGATACACACCAAACAGGATGTGTAAATTATTATATAATAAGTATTGTGCAATAGCAAGAAATTTTCAATTGCACAGTATTGCACAATAGCAAGAAATCTTCAATTGCACAGTATTGCGCAATAGCAAGAAATCTTCAATTGCACAGTATTGCGCAATAGCAAGAAATATCCAATAGCACAATATTGCGCAATAGCAAGAAATTGTCAATTGTACAGTATTGCGCAATAGCAAGAAATATTTAATAGCACAGGATTGTGCAAAAGAAGATACTTCCTATAAATTGCTTATTTCTTGACCAATTTCAATGGGGTTTTATTCTTGATTTCATGGGGTTCTTTAATATGCTGAATCTAACCGTGTATTTAGTTTTTGGATTTTGGGCCCCGTTTTTAAATTGGTCCACATTGAGGTCCAAAGGGTCCAAAATTAAACTTTGTTTGATTTCATCAAAAATTTAATTATTGGGGTTCTTTGATATGCCGAATCTAACTGTGTATTTAGATTCTTAAATTTTGGTTCCGTTTTCAAATTGGTCTACATTAAGGTCCAAAGGGTCCAAAATTAAACTTAGTTTGATTTTAACAAAAATTGAATTCTTAGGGTTCTTTGATATGCTGAATCTAAACATGTATTTAGATTTTTGATTATGGGCCCAGTTTTCAAGTTGGTCCAAATCGGGGTCCAAAATTAAACTTTGTTTGATTTCAACAAAAATTGAATATATGGGGTTCTTTGATATGCTGAATCTAACCATGTATTTAGATTTTTGATTTTTGGGCCCCGTTATCAACTTTGTCCACATTGAGGTCAAAAGGGTCCAAAATTAAACTTTGTTTGATTTCATCAAAAATTGAATTATTGGGGTTCTTTGATATGCCGAATCTAACCGTGTATTTAGATTCTTAATTTTTGGTTCCGTTTTCAAATTGGTCTACATTAAGGTCCAAAGGGTCCAAAATTAAACTTAGTTTGATTTTAACAAAAATTGAATTCTTAGGGTTCTTTGATATGCTGAATCTAAACATGTATTTAGATTTTTGATTATGGGCCCAGTTTTCAAGTTGGTCCAAATCGGGGTCCAAAATTAAACTTTGTTTGATTTCAACAAAAATTGAATATATGGGGTTCTCTGATATGCTGAATCTAACCATGTATTTAGATTTTTTATTTGTGGACCCCGCTATCAAATTGGTTCATATTGAGGTCAAAAGGGTCCAAAATTAAACTTTGTTTGATTTCAACAAAAATTGAATATATGGGGTTCTTTGATATGCTGAGTCTAACCATGTATTTAGATTTTTGATTTTTGGGCCCCGTTATCAACTTTGTCCACATTGAGGTCAAAAGGGTCCAAAATTAAACTTTGTTTGATTTCATCAAAAATTGAATTCTTGGGGTTCTTTGATATGCTG